ATGCGCACGCGCGACGTAAATGTTGGTCGGAAACGATCCCCCCCCCCCGCCCCGCCCTCCGTGGGCCTTCGTCCCCGCAGTTGCGACTTCTTCCAATGCGTGGCTTAGCAACGATCGCGCGGCGGACGGTGCCACAGCATCGCGCAGAGGCATCCCATTATGAGCAGCGCAGAGATGCCGGCAAGGATGCCGACATTTACCCACATGCGGGACTCTTTGAACCCCAAAAACGCCGCATACTCTGGGCCGGTGTAGCACATAGTCTCATTTGTTTGGCCGCAGCCAAAGTCGCGGCCCAGGAATTGCGAAAGAATGGACGACTCATACGCCAGTCGAATGAGTGAGACGTTGGATATAAATTGGAAGGCCTTCGGCAGTGTCGTGAGGTTCAGAATGATGCCCGCGAGGAGCAGGTTCAGCGTGTACACGGCAAAGAGGACAAAAATGGCAACTCGCCGCGTCCATATCACGGTGCAGAAGAAAAACACAACAAAGTGGCTGCAGATGGACATGACCCCAATGATGAGCACAAGCTCCATGATGAGGCGGTAGTAGTTCCACTTCTCCCCCACGTTGGAGACGCAGAAGCCGGCAAAGGTCAGCACAGAGAGGAAGAAAATTCGTTCCAAGACGCAGTACAGGACGGCATAGGTCAAGTAGGTGCAAACTCCATAGTAGCCATGCGCCCGGTGCCGCAAAAAACGGCTGTACTCGCGTCGCTGTGAATCCAGGGCGAGAATGCTATACAGAAAAGTGGAGCTCACGAGGAAGAAGATGATGCCAATGCGATTCTGCATCCCGCTTTGTCCCTCTTGGCTGTTGTACACCGCCGCCAACACCACCACCAGCACAACAAGCAGGAGGAAGATGGGGCCGCCCAGGTAAAGGTTGTGCCGCACCTGCAGCAAGTCGTACTTAAACATGCAAAACAACCGCACATGGGCGCCAGGGCTGGAGTACGGGCGCCCCGCAAGCATCTCTCGCCCCGAGGCACAACTGTGGAAAAAAAGCATGACGCTCCGCTGCACACGTTCCGCGTTGCCAGAGTGGGCAAAGGTGTCGGAAAGCGACGACTCCGAGCCAGACGCCAGCCGGTACAAGGAGCTAATCGCATTCTCCACGACGGCTGAGGCTGGGTCGACGCGAATTGCGGCGAAAAGCTCCGTGAGTGGTCCGCAAAACACGCACTTTTCGCGCTCGAGGAGAATCACATCATCGACAAACTTGAGTATCGCCCAACGTGGCTGCGACATGGCGACCAACACGATGCGCTCCCGCCCCCGCTGCAGCTCCACCGCCACACTGTGCCGCGACGAGGAGGCAGATTCCTCCATCGCGGGGGCCGCCGCCGCGGCGGCTGGGGGGGCCTGCAAGGCCTCAGCGGAGGCAACGGCAGGGTTGCGCGGAGGCGACAAGCGCGGGAGGGGCGAAGTTAACGGCAGCGAGTGGTTCGGGGAGGAAGCCGCCGACGCGGGGACCGCAATGCGTCGAAGTAGCCGCATAAACTCCTGCGCCTCGTGGGTTCGCAGGCCCTCCAACAGCTGGTCGAAGCAGAGCACCCGTGGGTTCAGCAGCAACTCTCGCCCCAACGAGACACGGCGGCGCACGTACAGGGAGCACGTCCGCACCACGGCGTCTGCGGCGCCCTCAAGCATTAACGTCTCGATAATTTCCTGCACCGTGAAGGCGCTCGCGGCGACGCGCATGGAGGCGGCGTACTCAATGCTCTCACGCACGGTGAGCTCCTCAAGTGCGGTGAACTCCTCGTCGATGAGGGCGGCGTGGTGGAGGTACGCCGGGGCATCCATCGGGAGGCCGTTCATCATGATGGCGCCCCCCGCGCACTCCCCGCGCCCCGCCAGGGCGCCAAGCAGGAAGGAGTCGCCCGGCGTCCCGCTGCAGCTGACAATCGCCGTCACCCGGCCGCCGTGGATGATGCCCGAGGCGTTGTTGATGACGACCTGCTTGTCCCGCCGCACCGTCACGTTGTCGAACCCCAGCGTCAGCGACGACGCGGCGTACGCCGGCGCGGAAGCGTTGGAGTCGGAGTCAAGCGGGGCGGTCATCCCCGCACGCCGTCGCCCCAACGTTGCCCGCAGGTGAGTGTATACGCAACTTCGCTACGCGACCGCGCACTGCCGACGTGCGTGCGGGGGCACAGCGCAGTTGCAGGGAAGGCCGGCGAGGTAGCAGGGGTTGAAAAAGAGAACAGTAAGAGAGAAAGCAAAAACATAAACAAAACAGCAACAGCAACAGCAACAAAGAAATTCATCCAGGAGGGGCAATCCCACCGGAAGCCTGCATACCCATTACACACACCCACACACAGGCGATGTCGCGATGCAAACGAGCGTGAGGGAGAAGCTGGGCGCAGCAGACACGAGGGTTTCCCCTGACGCCCCACGGGAACCCCCGAAGAAAGAAAGAAAAAAAAACTCCGCACATAAACCACCAACTGAAATTTTAAATCGGAAACACAAAAAAAAACACACACGCACACACTCCGGTGAAGCCAAATAAAATAATTGAACAGAATCATATGCATACAATGAGGCGAACGGAGGGTGGCGCCTTCAGTGTGGAGTACACACGCAAAAAAAAAAGTAAAGAAGACACACGCATACATTTGTGTGAAGTGAGGCGCCACTTGTTGTGATGAAGAGGCAGTGGAAATGCAGACACACACACACACCTGCGGCAGGGCGCCGGCATTCACCCCGCGCTCATGCAGGAGCTGCGCAGAAGAGCCGCACCTCCTGCATGAGTTCCCGCGTCGGCAGTGTGGCTTCATCCGAGACATCCGGCGGCAACAGCGCCGCCAGCCTGCGCTCCTTCCGCTCAAGTAAGGCGAGGAGGCGCTGGCCAGCCACGCGCTCCTCCGTGGTGAGACACCCCGGCCTTGTATTGATGTGCTGCAAAATACGAAGTGCGGCCGCCCCGCCGCGTGTGCCGAATTTTCCCTCGCCCGCCTCCTGCATCACCTCCAGCGCCAGGTGCCGTGCGACGGCGCAGAAGGTGCGGCGCACCGTGAGGCGGCGACACGGTCGCAGCACCTCCGCCACCGCGTCAAGGATGTCGTACCGGTTCGGCACATCCGCCGCCGTGCGGACGAGGGAGTACTGCCAGGTCGGGGCGACGGCTGCCGTCGCCAGCGTAGCGGGCTCGACGAGCCCTTTGAGAACCCGTGCGGCGCCCTTCACGGCAACCGCAAGCGCCCCCGGTGACATCCGCGTGGCGCCCGTCGGCCTAGAGAAGTGGTTCTCCGACAACTCCTGCCGCCGAAGCGGCTTCTCCTTCTTCTCCTCCTCGGACGTCAGCAGCATCGCCCTCGCGACGACGCACTCCAGGCGGACGAGGTGCTCGATAACAGCCATCAGCGCCTCCCGCAACTCCAACGGCACGTGCGGCTCCGCACCACTCTGTGCCGCGCTCCGCGCCCACTGCACCACGGTGGAGGAGAGCACTAGCAGGTGGGCAAGGCGGTCGTTGCACTGGCCGACCACGTTGCCGCTGTGCCACAGGGACGCGGCCAGGCCCAGGGCCACGTCGTTTTCAAGCCTCGCTGCATTGCTTGGAAACGGCGGGGGTTTTGCCCCCTCTGCAAGCAGCAGCGATGCCACACCTCGCCGCTTCTGCCTGCAAGCACAGGGCTCCGCACGGTAGTAGGGGACGCTCAGCAAGGAGTGAGAGGAAGTTGTGTTTGACTGCCGCCATTGCTCCTCCGCCCCACAACGTGAGGCCGGTGGGCCGCGAACTGCGGTGGACCATCGCAGCATCTGCAGCGGCGAGGCGTACTGCGAGGCGAACATGCGGCCATGCCGCTCGGCGGCCACAGTCCCCCCGCCACGGCGCTTGAGCTCCCGCTGAACGCGAATGGCGTCCACCGGCGTGAGAGGCAGCGGCTGCCCGTCACCCGCGCGGTGCAACGCCTGCATCCCGCGGAAGAATACGTCAGGAGTAAAAGGGACGCCTATCGATCGCGCGGCTGCGGCTCCCTCTTCGCGGAGAGGCAAGGCAAGAAACAGACGACACCGGGCGACACCGCCGATTTCATGCGTCAACGCCGAGGCACAAAGACGGAAAGAAAGATATGTATAGAGAAAGATTTAACACACATACATAAGGGGAGAGACGCATAAAACCAAAAAAGATAAAAAAAAACGGGAGAAGACAAAAAAAAAAAACTTAAGACGGCGACAACAACCGAAAACAAAAACAAATAATAGACAATGCCTTCAACAATACGATGAGCGTCTTTGCCAAGTGGAGGGATCTCCAGAGCTGGAGTGGAAAACGGCGGCGGCGGCGGCGGCGGCGGCAGCGGGAAAAGACTGAGGGTTTGGGGGCAGGCAGTCGGGGGATGCATGGGCTACAGGAGTCCTTCCGCCTCCAACATCACGCGGTACTCGCCAAAGACGCGCTGCAGCATGGCACTCGGGGAGGCGCTGGTGATCATCACCCCCAGCGCCTGCCGCAGCGCCGCACAGAGCGCGTCCTGCTCCTTGTACTGCGCAAAGTTCTCGGTGGAGCCACCGGACGCCTGCAGGGCCTCGCAAAGGGCCCGCGTCACCTTTGGGGCGAGGTCCTCCACGGTGTAGCGCCCTGACGAAAGGCACGTCATCGGCACCTTCGCAAGCGCCACTGCCGCCTGCGTGCGCACCTTGAAGATGCGATCGTGGCAGACAATGACGCACAGCCGCTCCACGGCCCGCGTCGCCGCCGGTGGCTCCGCCTCAAACACCACCTCCCGCGAAAGACCAAGCCCAAGGGCGCACGCGGCGTTCCAACGCAGCTTCGCATCACGGTTCGACGGCAGCAAAAACCGGAGTAGGGCGTTAAGGTAACCCTCCGCCACACACTCCTGCTCCTCCGACAGCTCGGCGATGAGTTCCTCAAAGCTGAGGCTGTGCAACAGGTGGCTCATCATACGGATGCCATGGCCGACAACTGCGGCGTCCTCGCGCGCCTGCGTGGCGTACATGGCGACGTCGCAGAGCAGCTGCATGTGGTACGGCGACTGCCGCAGCGGGCTGAGGTCAGTCTCCTCCCCCAGACGGGAGGTGATGTTGGAGATGGCAAAGGCCGCCTTGGAACGCACCTCGGGCTCTGCATCGCCGCACATTGCACTTGCGGCACGCTCGACAAAGCCAGTAAGCCAGTTCTCAAACGTACTGTACTGCCACGCCCATACACCAATTGTCGTGAATGCCTCAGACCGCACACTACCCTCGTGTGCGGTTGTGCTACTGATTACCTGGGCAACAATCCCCTCACGCAGGGTTGCGGGCATGGCGGAGAAAAATTCGTTACCCAACTGCGCCACGCATCGCAGCGCCGTTCGCCAAGCCTCGGTGTATCGAGGCCCGCTAGGCGTCATCCGAAGTACGGGCAGGACGAGTTCTGTCAGGATCCGCTCCTTCTGCTGCGGTGTTGCACGATGGGCCTCGTAATCCTGCCCAAGTGCCGGATCCGCGGAGTGGCCGTCGAAGGAATGCCATACATACCCCATGAAATGCAACCAGGCCCGCAGACATTCCCCCAACGTATTGCCCACAGCGACGTTGCCGGTCTTTTCTGCTGCTGCGGCTTCCTCCATATTTTTTGGCGCGGCACGGAGGACGGCGCGGGCCGCATCCATCAGAATTGCGAAGTGCGTCCCCACAATCCATGGATGCATACGGGAGAGTTGCACCACGCACCGCCAAACCCCCACACGACGCGCCGCATGCGTTAGCAGCACCTCAAGCAGCAGTGCCCCTCTGCCGGCGCGCCGGTCCGGCGGAGGATGCCTGGGCCCCGTGCTTGTGGCGCCGACGTCACCCCCCTCAGCGGCAAGGTACGCCCGCACCACGCTGGCGAGGGAGTCCGCCTTGAAGACGGAGCTGAGAAACGTCGTCGCCGACGCAAATTCCTCGCAGGAGGCATCTAAAAGAGCATCCCGCAGCAGTGGCAGTTCGAGAGTCTGCTGTACCACCTCAAAGGAGTGCGGACAGCGGCGGTACGGGGTCGTTGCCACAAGCACCGCAAAGGTGGAAAACACGAGACCCGTGGAGAAGTGCGAGGCGGCGGCTGCCGCAGCAGAGGTCTTCCGCAGCGCGGGGGGCCCACTCGACAGCTGTAGGGAATAGAGAAGTACGTCGTGCAGAGATGCGAGCGTCCGACCACCCTGAGAGGCCAGCGACGAGAATGACTGCCGCTTCCGCTGTGGCTCCTCTGCGTATTTAAAGTTGGGCTGTAACTTGCGTAGCAGCGCAGCGACAAGAGCGGCGGCAGCGGCGCGGAGACGCTCCTCAGGGCCCCAGAGCAGCGGGGTAAGGAGAGGGTGAATGGTACTCGGGTCCCTCGCATCGATCTCTGGAAATAGCGCCGGCAGGTAACGCGTGGCGTTAAACTCCGCATTGCGAAACCGCACGAGTGCCGCCGTCAAGAGACACAACGCCGCCAGATTCACTTCCGCACAAAGCTCGACAGGCTTGGCAGTGCTATCTACGGAGACGGTGCCACGCGTAACAACTCGCGCTGCTCCGCACACGGAGAGCCGCACCACGGCGTCTACCGCAACGCGAAACGTCTCCTCCGCCATGCGCGTTTCCACTCCTGGAGTCTCGCTCTCTGGGACGGGGCGGTTGCCCGCGGCGCCTGGACGGCGTGCGAGGCGCGTCATCGGCGTCGTGCGGCCGCTGCTCCCTTGCGAAGGGGCTTCGCCATGGCCCCCCGTCGCCGGCCGCGCAGTGGCGAAGCAATAGAGGCAAATAACCCGCAGGAGAAGAAGCACTCGCTCAGCCGTCGCCCGCTCCTCCCCATCGCCAGCCGTCGCGTGAAGCTTCATTGAATGCAGAAGACTGTTTAGTTTCGACACTGCCGCAAAGTAGAGGGGTGGGCTGGGGGTGGAAATTTTATCCCACGCCGAGGCTGACTCTTCTGCTGCGGGGACGGCTGTCGGCTCGGAGGGTTCTTGTCGCTGCGTAACTGCACTCGCCTCCGCCTCCATCTTGACGAGTTCCCCGCAGCCGCTCACCAACGCCTCGGCATCGCGAGCCAGTGCGTCGGCGAAGGCTCCAAGCGAGCCACGAAAGGCGCCCTCCGTCTCCCCCACCAAAGTCAACTGCAGCATGGTTGCCCCTGCGGTGCTGCGTAGAGGCACGGTGCAGGAATGTCCAACTATGCGCGCTTATCCCCAACCGTCTACGAACGTGGGTGTTTGTATGCGCCTTGCCAACCACTTCTCAACTACCGCCCCAGAATGGGAAATAAACAGAACAAACGAAGAACAAGAAAAGAAAAACATATATATATATATATATATATATGTATATGTGTGTGCTATTATTAGTCAAAGTCCCCTCTCCTCCACCCCTCTGGATGCAAAAATAATGACGGGCAGTGTTGCACACAACAAGGTAGCTGGTTTCTTTTTTTTTTCTCTCTTTGTGCAGTACTCACTCCGCCTTGCTTCGCGTCTTTCTTCGCTGCTTCCTTCCTTCGCGTTGCCTTTTAGCGCGTCTGCTGCGAGAGAGCCAGAGGACCGTTTGCTACTGGAGGCGTGCGGCTCCAAGGCCCTTTTTGCGCAGCTTCATCGCCCGACCACCTCTCGCTAACTCATTGACAGCGTGCACGTCGATATGCCGGCTGGTGGACTTCCCCGTCACGCTGCTGTCCTCTGACGGCGGCGCCTGGAAAGAGACCTCGTCGTCGTTGGTGCCCCACGCGTCATCATCGCTGAACCCCGACTCGGTCACAGGCGCCCGCGTCGTGGGGATCTTCGTCGCCGCAGCGCTGCTTGTTAAGGGAGGGGTCGCAGGAACTTTGCTGACGCCGTTGTCCCAGCCCCCGCCCGCAAGCGCAGGGCCGCCGCCGCCGCCGCCGCCGCCGCCTTCTGAGACAGGCTCACCCTTTGCATCGCCGACCGCTGTGGCCGTGGCGGCGGCGCCCCGCGCCCACCCCCACCAGGAGGAGGCCGGTTTCTTATTGGCGTCCGCCGCGTCGGTCGCCTCGGCGGCAGCAACTGCCTTTGCCTCCTGTGAAGGCGCCTGGGCGCTGTATTCGTCGAGGCGACCAATCGCCTCACGCAGCACATCCAACGCCGCCTGTCGCACCTCACGGACGTCGTCCACGGCGCGGGGCCCCACGCCGGGAAGCATCAGCTCCGCGATGTGCTGCGGTGTTAGGTGCACCAGGCACGTATGAAAGGAGCGCAGGGCCCCAAGACGACTTGGCACAAAAGGATCCTTGAGCATCCGGCCAAACCCGTTCACGAGGATGTGCGAGCGGTTCTCGGCAGGTAACTTCTCCGCCATGAGGCAGAGACTGATGGTGGCATTCGTGCGGATGGCCCCCTCGGTGTCCTGCTGCAGCTGCGAAATAAACCTGGGAACCTCAGTGATCATGATCTTCTCACTTAGGTTGTCGGCAAAAGCAACCAAGGCCCGCACGCTGTGCTCACGAATGCTTGGAACGGGGCTGCTGAACCCCGACATAAAGTAGGGCCACAATTGCTCACTCACCATGGCCGCTGGCAGCCGCGACGCGTACTCGGAGGCGCGCTGAAGCAGCCGATAGCGCACCATCCTGTCCTGAGAGGCAAAGAGAGTGAGAATAATGGGTGCCACATATGCAGCGTAGTGCTCCGCTGCGGTGATCTGTGAGGCAATTTTAAGCACAGGCTCGACGACGGCCGGAAGGGCACCAAACTTCAACGAGGCCTTGAGCTTTGGTAGCACCAGGCACCTACACGCCTTTTTGGGAAACGTGTCGACAACCTCTGTGAGGTGCTCGAAGAATCGCTCCCGCTCCACGGTGTCCTTCAGCGACAACTCATCCAGGGCCTGCATGCACTGCACAAATTCGCTTCCAACGATGAACTCACTGCTATTTAAGAAGCGTCCCACGTCGTGGCGCATCTTTGGATTGGCAGCACAGAGGCCAATAAAACCACTCTGCAGCGTTCGCGGAAGACTACGGCACCCACGCATGTCATTCGCCTTCCAGTTCACCTCTAGCAGGCTCCGTGTGCGTCCATGGGCCCCGCCCAGCACCTCGTATATGAGGCACGCCAACCCCCACGAGTCGATGTCGCTTATGTGCAGGCTAGCTTCATAGCTTGTTTGCAGAGTTTCGGGTGGCCGCCGCCCCTCCGGCAGCAGCATGCCGTAGCGTTGGTAAATGCTATGGGGTTCGTTAAATACACTAACCAGCTCGAGGCCAAACAAGCGCCACTCGTCGCCTGCGACAACAAAGATCGAGTCGGAGGAGACGTTGCCATGCACAAAGTTGTTCCGATGCATTGCGGTGAGGGCAGTTCCAACCGCCTTCAAGCCCAACGCAACACCCTCCAAAAACGCCTCCTCTTCGTCGCCGTCCTCGTCAATCCGTGCGGCTGAAGAGCGCAGCAGCACCGCACGCAGCGGCTCGCACGGTTCCGTGGCAATGTACACCGTCTCTTGGTGCTCCACCGCCCCGTAGCAGCGCAGGAGACCAGGCAGCAGCAGGCTTTTCGCGCGCCGCATCGCGTGTCGCGCCAACTCCTTCACCCCGCTGTCAGCCTTTAATAAACTAATGGAGAAGATCGTAACCGCCCGCCCATCCTCGCTGCCCACGCCAGGGCGCATTGTCCACGTGAGGGTGGGCGTCACGGCGGTCGTGCTGCCACCGCCGCCGCTGGGTGTGTAGGGGAAGCCCGGTATGGAGTCGGAGAGGCCGATCGCCTTCCAGAGAAAGGCCATTGTGAGGCGTGTATGCACGGCGGCCAATAATTCTCCAAGTGTAATGGTGGGTCGAGTGGGCAATCCTAACGGTGTCCTGCAACGTAAAAAGTCCCCTCTCCTTCCTTCTGCCTTTTGTTTGTTTGTTTGTTTTTTCTCCCCTTTTTATTTTGGGCCTAGTTCTTTCGTTGGCTCCTGTCCCCCTCGCGTGGTTGAGGCAAAGTAGTAGAGGAGGCACAAAGAAGCGGAAGGAGAGAGAGAGCGAGAAAGAATTTAAAAAAAGAGTGGAAAAAGGGAAAGAAAATAGCGGACGAACACGTCACGATGGCCTCCGCCCAGACGCCACACACGCGGTGAGTGATGGCTAGTCGGCCATCGTATCAACGACCCTGCGGCAACCAGAGCCATCCGCCTCCGCGACGCCCCCCCCCCCCCGCCCCCTCACGCACGCATTCAGGTTTTGATGTCGCCTGCGTCAGATGTCACTGCGGCCTCATACGCGGCAAGAGCGTTGCTGCACTTATTCTGCTGCCGCTGCAGGGCCCGCTGGCTCACTGCCACTTGCCCACCGAGCGACTCCGCCACTGCGCCGTACTTGGTGACAAACTCCTTCATTTTTGCCGTTCGCTGCATTAATTCATTCAGCGCCTTGTCTCCCGTCAGTATCGCCGCTCTAAGTTCTTCATTCACGGAGGACGACTTCGGCTCCCTCGTCTCCCCATGCTCCTCCTCCCACTTTCGCAGTTTTGCCTCGTACTTGTGGAGGAGCCGCTGGTAGTTGCTGATGGCCGCCTGCTCCTCCGTCGTCAGCCCGGGAAGCGTGGCGGGCCACGTAAATCCATCCCGCATCACCAACTCCACATCCCCCGCGCCACGTGGCGAGGCGGCCGAAGGTTCTCCGCCTTCCGCAGATTGCCGCCGCGCCCCACCGTCGCAAGTACTGCTGCTGTGCACCACCGTGTAAGACCCCGTCGGCGCCACCGCCTCCAGCGCCGCCTCAGACTCGCGCAGTGCAGAAGACTCCTCCTCTATTGCCGCCTGCACCCGCCTCAGACACCTCAACTCGGCCGTAAGCTGAGTGTACTGCTCTTGGTAGTTCTGCAGGGTTTCCTGCTCATGCCTGATACACGTCTTAATGGCAAGCACTTCCGCCGTCGCCTCTGCGTCCCGCGCCAACGCCTCCACCGGCTCCGGAACATCCTCCTCCTCCTCCTCCTCATCCTCGCTATTGTCATTGAGGTCTTCCTCCCGCGCGTCTTGCGCGTGTCGCGCCAATGGCGATGGCGATGGCGATGGCGCGGTGCACAACTGCGGCGGTGGTTGTCTGGCCGACCCCGGCGGCGCACCACTTACGTTGTTCTTCGAAAGAATGGAGCGGAGGCTGGCAATGTAGTTCGCGGCAGCCTTCAGCTCCGTGTCCTTCGCCGCGGCGCCACGGGCCAGCCATTCCAGCTCCTCCATGCGGGCCTGCCGCTCCGCCGCACGCTCCGTGATGTCGGAAGCGTGCGCGTCCCTCACGCGCTGACGCTCCGTCATCACCGCCGCCGTGACGCGGGAGAGCCACCCCAGCTCCGCGTCCAGCTCCGCGTACTGCCCGCGCAACTCCTGCAGCTCATCGCGCTCGCCATCCTGCGCGGGCCTCCTTGCATGCTGCGGGGCCAACCCAACTTGTCCCGTGACTTCGTCGCCGGCTACTCGGCCGCGGCGGCTGCAAGCGATCCTGCCGTCTTCCTCCCCCTCTGTCTCGCGCTGTGGGGTTTCCGTGGCAACGCCTCCGCCGCGTAGAGTTCCACAGCCCTTACGGTTGTACTGCGGGCCGTGTTCTTGCTTGTCCCCACTCACGCGTTGCACCCGACAGAGACGCACCTGCGTAGGGAGAGAGGCAACCACCCCCGCACCTCCCCCCTCGTCGCCAGCACCCGCAGCAGAATCCAAGTGTGGGTGACGGCCTGCCGGGCCGCGGATGCCTGTCTCACTGGTGTTGCTGCTCACATGTCCGCTGGCGCCTGGCACAACAACGCCCTCGTTTGCATCATGTTGGGGCTCGAGCGGCGGGGTCGCCTCCGCAGCGCGACTCACCTCCTCACCGTGCGCACCGCTGTCAAGGACGGTGGTCTCCTCCGGTGCCGGGGATGCCACGCCGGCAAGCTCCTGACGCGCCTTACGCAGCAAAGGACGATCCTGCCGCTCATCGCGGGTAAAAACGATGGGGAAAAGGCCCAACCGCCCACCCGACTCCACAATCGCCCAGGACTCAGCGCGGCGCACCACACGCACCCGAGTGCCCGGCCTTGCGGGGAGACAAGCCTCGGCGTACGCCGCATCAGCGGGTGGCGTGTACGGAAACGCCACAATTCGAAAAGACATTTCCCCTGCACGACTGCGTAACTTCACACTCCAACCCTCCCTCCATGCACACACATATAAATACCGCCTTCTGCCGTTGTCGTTTCCCTTGCTCTTTGTTTTTTGTCTTTCCTTTTGTCTTTTTTGACTCCTGCCGAAGGCGCAGCAAAAATAAACGGGAAAGAGGGGGCTCCACGGCAGTTGTCGCGGCACGACGGAGAATGTTACAAGGTGTTAAGAGTTTGAGGGCGCTTGCACGGAGGCGTGCAGCCGCCCCCCCCCCCCCACCCTCCATGTCTCTCAGCGAGCGGCAATCTCATCCCTTCCATTGTAATCCCCAGCGGCCCTCTTTTTTAAAAAATATTTTGTTTGGCGGAATTGCCTAAATGCCAATAAATAATCAATGAAAAGGAAACACAAACAAACAGACAAACAAAACCGCACACAGACCTGCAACAAAAATACTGCAACTGTAGGACATGGAGAAATTTTAGAGGACACCCCCAAAGCCGTTTTTCTTTTTATCTTAAGTTTTGTTGCAGCTGACTAACTTGGGGCGACCACGACACAATCGTTTTTCGGGTTTGCCACATTATTTTTTCTTTTCCTTTTCTTTCGTTTCTTCTTCCATAAATTGTTTTGCCATAGTTATTGTTTCTGTGTGGAGTGGGAAAAAAGTGCTTGAGGCCACGGGGGTTATCGCGCTCGCTGGGCAGGGAACTGTCTCCCCTGCGGCTTGAATTTCATCCTAACTCGCCTGTATTTATTCATTTTATTCTCTTCTCTTCTCTTCTCTTTTCTCATCTACTCTCCAGCCCCGTCCGTCCCGCTCGCTCACGCCGCTGCCGCTGCTGGTTTGGTGCGCGTCAGCCCTTCGGCCGCTGCTCCCCGCAGGCGCAGACGACCTTCTCCCTGTAGTTCTGGCGGTGGCAGCGCAGGCAGTACCAGTCGCCGCGCGACCAGAAGGAGAGCACGTCGGAGCGGACGTCGTCGACGGCGGGCAGCCGGCAGACTTGGCAGTGCGCGTCGTCGTTGTGGTTCACCTTGTGGCAGGCGCAGCGCCAGTGCTGGCCGTCGTTGAGCGGCTCGTGGTGCCACTGAATCCCGCAGTACTCGCAGTGGGAGGAGCCGTGCACGATGCGGGCCATCTTCCACACGCTGCCGCGCTTCGTGGGGGTGTTGCCGTCCAGCAGCGGCGAGCGGCCGTGCCGCTCCAACGCCACGATGTGCCGCGACGCCCTGTTCACGTGGTTGCAGCCCTCGCAGTACCAATTCTTGGCCCCCGCAAAATCCCACACCCGCAGCAACTCATCGAGCGTGGCGGTCTGCGGCAGACGGCGGGGGAATCGGCACCGCGCACAGGAGAGGGTGGCGGCGTTGCCAACGTGCCCGCAGGCGCAGAGCCATGCGTCGCTCCGGGAAGAGGCGGTCGCCCCGTGCAGCGAACCTCCGCAGGCCGTGCAGCGCTGCTCAGGGGCCAGGCGCGGAAAACAGTTATGCAGGCCAAACGGGCGTGACGCATGGATGTGGTCCGCCGGCTCAGAACCGTACATTTGCTTGTTGCACAGCTTCTGTGACGCCTTGCACGTGGGGCAGGTGACCGTGAAGTCGAAGCGCTCCTTGTTGCAGTGCCGACAGACGGAGGACTGGAGCGCATTGGACTCCGAACACCCCGTGCAACGCCACCGAATGACACGATTTCTCGTCACAATCACGGAGCCCACCGGGGCCCGCTGGATTTCGTCCAGCACCCGCTCGTGGTGCACCACACGCAGCTCAAACTGCGCGTCGCGCTGCAGCCCGCAACAGCGGCAGGCCAAGTCACGCTCAAAGTTGAATTCGCGGCATCGACTGCAAAACCAAGTGGTGTGATCCTCACGCCAGCCTGCCACCGCCGCCGCCGCATCGTGGCGGACGGCGTGGCAAAAGTCACAGACGGAGCGGGAACGATGGGGCATGCAACGGAAGCACGACCCGCACACCCAACCGCCGGCGGCCAGCGCACGTGCCCCGTCCTCCGTCTTCTCCACACGATGCAGCTCACGCCACTGGTGCTCCGTCGGCGTCTGCGGGGGCGGGAGTTCCCCGGTGTTTGTCGTGTCGGGGTCCGCCGGAGAAGTCTCTTGGCGCACAAGGAGCGCCGTGGTTTTTTCGCTCGCGCGGCGCTTGTCGTGGCCGCCGCTGGGAAGACTTGTGTTGAACTCAATCCCGTCCACCGGCCACGGCGGCAGGACACCCGGCTGCCGCACGGCGTCGGGGCGAATTTTGCTCGCCGCTGGCCGTGCTGGGCGCCGGATGGGCGCGCAGAAAACACTTTCCCCCGTCGCCGCCCCACGCACCGCCACTTGCCTCCACCGCTGCAGGCAGCTCCGCCCCAAAACTGGGAGAGCCCAGCGCCGCATTTGAGATGTCATTCCCGCACCGCCTTTGGCTTTTATCCCTCCACAGCATCTTGCCAACGTAGCGGAGAGAGAGAGAGAAAGAGAGGAGGGTGAGACAGAGAGAACATCACACGCAACGCACCCAAAAGGGTCAGCAATGGCACACACACACACACACACAGCGGCTACAGCGAGGAGGGCGTCATCCTTTTTTCTTTTTCTTTTTTTTAAATGTATTGCTTTGCTTTTGAGAACAGGCAGTAAGATGAAATCCGATAAACACAGCACGTCTGTGCACGATGCCCGCGCACTCACCCCACCTTTGCGCCACCTCGTCTCCGCACTGTTGTCCGCAGAGAAGGAAAGCAATCACTAGCCTCATACTCATGAAACACAGCCAAATAAATAGATGAACACAAAGGGGGAGGGTGAACAGGCGCGTTTCAGAGTGGGATGAAGCGGGGGCGTGCAATGGCGTGCGTGTGCGTGCATGCGAGAAAACTAACAAGAGTACGGCAATGCCTCTCACTGAGAGTAACCCTGAGAGGCACGCATTGGCCCGCACGCAAGGAGAAACAAAAATGATAGTAGCAACAACAACAATAATAATAATAAGACAAAGTACTTGAGGGGAATGAGCAAGGGAAGCCCCACTGCCACCACCACCGCCCTGCGCTCTACTCCGGCGGCGGCGGCGGCGGTGGATCGTCGTCGTCATCCTCGTCTTCTTCCAAAGGCGGTGGCGGTGGCGGAGGGTCGTCATCGTCGTCGCACTCCGCACCGGCCCCCTCCGACGCAGCCCCAGCGACGTCGTCGCCGTCGGTCTCTGCTGCGGGGGGTGGCGGGGGCGGGAGGCTGCCGTCACTCTCCGCGCCGTCGCCGTCAAGCGGGGGCGAGGGTGGTGCATCGGCGTCGGCCCCTGTTGCCTCCTCCGCCGCCGCAGCAGCGGCAGCAGTTGGCGCGCGGGAACCTCCACCCGCCCTGCCCGGCAGTTCAATGCGCTGCATGACGAGCTGCATCATTTTCTCCTTGTGCGCCTCCAACGCCCTGAGCCTCGCCTCCTTGAAGGCCGCCCGGCGCTCCTCCTGCCTGGACTTGCTGTGCATCGTGCTCTCCGGCAGGAGGCGGAGGTGCGGCGCCAGCAGCTCCACCTCCACCTCGCCGTTGCTGCCAATCAGCAAACGTTCGCGCGGGAAGTAAATGGTACGCTGCTTCTTTGCGGCGCTCATCACACTTGAGAGCCGCTCCTGAAACAACTCCTCAAGCGCGGGGTCCGCACAAATGTCAGCCCATGAGAGCACAGCAGCCGGCGCTGCGGCCGTCGCTCTCGGCGCCTCCTTCAATCGCCGCAGCTCGCGGAGGAGCACGTCAATGTCGGCGTTGGTGTCGATGATGCACTCCAACATTTCCTTTTTTTCCTTCACCGCACAAAAGTGCCTTCGTCCCCTGAAGCTTCCACCTCGTTGCCGTGCGCCTCCTCCCATGCCGCCCCAGAGAAACACACACACACATACACACACTGGGGAGGGAAAGCAAGAAGCCAAAAAAAAAAAGAAAGCGAAGCGGCAATGATTTTTGTTGTGTTCTTCTGAGGCGTGACGTTCCCCCGCTCTCACCCCCCTCAAATTGAAGTTTGGGGAGACGTGGAAGGACCAACACAGGCCGTCACGCTGTAGCAAGAAAAAAAGACGCATAGGAAACAAGAGAAAACGAGCTTACATCACAGGCGTTGGAATAGGTGCATGTCAACTTTGCTGCATTTCAAGTAGCAGAGTATTTGTGTGTGTGTGGCTGTGCTTCCCCCTTCGTTTTCCCCGCTCGTCCCAATTTGGTTCCAAAAGACTATTTTGCCGCTGCTCATACTATCCCGGCAGCCTGCAACTCCGAGACCGCCTCCTGAATCCTCCCAGAGCGAAGAAGTTTTTGGGCGCGCTTTTTCGTCGCCTTTTCGTGTTTTCGTCGCAGGCGCAACACTGAATGTGGCTCACCCGCCACCGCGCAGACCTCACGCCAGCCATACGGCTCCTCGCACCAGCGACAGAAGTGCTTTGCATCGTTCCGCCCCCCTGCGGGGCAGCGAGTGGCCGCTGTGGCCAGCACGCCCGCAAGGCTGTTGGCACCCGTACCTGCTGTGGATGGCGCGAATTCGGCCCCCGGGGAGTACAGGTGCCCAGACGACGACGACGACAGCAACGACCAATTGGGGCGCTCTGGCTGCGGCGACGCGGGACTGCATCGCCGCACGTGGCAGCTCGCCCCGCGACTGTCCACCTCCGCCCCCTCCTTCCCTTTTGAAGAGGCTGCAGGCGGCGACGGGGGCCGGGGTGGTGGTGGTGGTGCTGGTAGGAAGGGCGATAGCAACCCCCGTCGACGGCACGGCACGGTGCCGCGTTGTGCCGTTCTCGACGGAGTGAATGGGGAGCGGAACGAGCTTGGCGAGGACACGGCGTGCAAGTGCACCCCGCAAGACTGGGCGCGGCTCGCAGGAAAATCCAACGCAGCCGCCTGCAGAACACGCGGTGACCCTACAAGTCCCTCGCAGGACCTTGACGCCGAAGAGTTCGGCCTATGCGACTTACTCCAGTGGGTGTTCGCAATTTCACTTGTGGCAAAATATCCCTCCCTCGCAACCTCGACCGGCGGCAAACATCTAGTCCCACTTCCCTCCGCACTTGCTGGGCGCTCGGACCCGCTCCCCCGGCGCCTCTCCGCCCCCAGCTGTCCCCTAAGACCAGAAATGGCATTCGTACCCGCGGTCCCGTTAGCACCAGTGGCCGCAGCCATTGCTCGCGCAGGCTGAGGGTGTGCGGGGGGTGAGGCCAAGCCGCGTCCCGCCCGCTGCGGCGACTCCAGCGGCGGCGACAATTCCGAGTCAAGGCTGCTGGGGGCAAACGAGACGGGGGTCGGCACCGGTGGACTATCGCGGGGTTGACTCCTCGGCGGGGAAGCAGCGGTAGTAGCAAGTGCACCACCTAGAATGGGTAGTTCGTCGTCTAGCTGCTGTGGGAAAATCCGCCCCTTCACAGATGCCGCAAGAAGCGATTCTCGCACCTCGTCCTCTGTTTTAGCGGCAAGGCAGCACCCAGGCACCTCAGCCTCGAAGAAATCTTTCTGCGAGCGTGGGACGGGGGCGTGCTGCCCCTCACCCATCCGTTGCCCTCTCGCCTGCATCGGTGTGGTGTCGCCAGCGCTGGACTGCGATGCGGAATAATCCGGGGTCGGGGTGGAGACCACACACTTTTGTTGCTCCTGAGAGCCGGCCGCGCGTGCTTCGGCGTGGCTCACGTCAGGCGCCCCAGGAGGAGGATCGGGACTGGGGGAGGGCGCAAGCAGCACCCGGGTGCAAAGCCGCCTCGCCTCATTGAAAGAGAGGCAGCTCAAAAAGTTGGAGTTGGAAACGGAGTCGGAGAAGGCAGAATCCCCCCGCCTCAACTTCTCAGCGGCGGCGGGACGCGCGACGGGGGTCTCCGCGCAGTTCTCTGTTGCGGTGGCTGTCGCCGATGACGCCGGGGCTGGCGCCGCCGCCGCCGCCGCCAAATGAGGAGGCGGCGGCGAAGGAGGGCGCGGGGGGCCGTCCAGCCCACCGTGCGGCATGCACGCCGCCGCGGAGTCCGTCTCGGCAGGCTGCGCCCCACACGCGGGGCCACTGCCGCAAGCGCGTCTCTCCGGCGGCCTGCCCTTATCATCCTGCGCGGCGGCGGCGCCGAGATCCGGCGTCGTTGCCTCCGCCGCGACTTCCACCCCAGTCACTGTCGGCTGCGCCTGCGCGTGGCAGGCGCCGGGGTGCGTGGTCATGGAGTGCCCCGGCGTTTGCGCCATCATTGAGCTGACGCGTGCCACAGAGGGAATAGACAACACATCGTCCGCCTCCGGCGAAGAGTACTCGCCGAAGTCGGGGGAAGCTTCCAGCCGGGGCAACACATCCACACCGCGGGAACCCTCCCAGTGGGTGTGAGACTCACGCCGCCTGGACACAAGACTGCTGCTCCTGCTGCCAGAACGCGCTCCGCCACGGCGGCTCTTGGCGGCGTTGCTGGCAACACCACTCTTGGCGCACGTCGCCCCCATCACTCCACTGCAGTAGCAGGTGCCGGCGCACACGCACACACAGACACAGAGAGGGAGGGAAAAGCAAACGAAGAAACAAGGTGGAAAAAAAAGGGGGGAACGCATCCGCCAGAGAGCGACGGCAAGAGCAGCAAAGCGTCACCGCCCACAGGAAGAATGTGTGGAAGACGCAGACACGCACACGTGCGGCTTCACGGGTTTCCGCCGTCTGGAGAATGTTTTCACACGCCTTTATGAGAAAAATGGGTCGTGATAATTATAACAACAACAATAAAAAAATACCTCACGGAAGCAAATGGGTATCCATTGCAGAGAGCAGCGCTCGTGCGTCGTTCCTTTCTCCTACTCATTCCGCCATTTTTACAGCCATAACTGCCTCCCACCATTAATGTCCAACCTCCACCTTTACTCCCTTCCTCGTCATTTTGTGCTTGTGTGTGATTGAGCTCGGAAATATCACGAGACTCTACTGCTGCTGGCGAGACTGCAGATGCATCCACGCCTCGATGCGTTTTGCCAATGCCGAGGCGGCAACGATGGACGCCTTGCGCTCCTTCCTAAGCTCAATGCTGTCGCCCACCGGCGCCATGTCCAGCTGCACGACGTAGCGTGTAAGGAGCTCATCCGCCTCAACTGCCTTCTCCGCAAGGAGCGCCCGCAGGGCCTCCTCCGACTCCTCTTCCGACAGAAGCGAAGTCAAGACAGCATCCATCGTGCCGTCCCCCTCGTGGTTTCCCTTCCCCGTGGGCGCAGGGTGCGAGGCACGTCTCTTCCAGCGCTCGCCAAGGCCCTCCAGTTCACTCAGCACGCGCAGCAGCGGCGCCTCATGCGTGCGCTCCACCCGGCGCTGAAACATGCGGAAGGCGCTCTCCGAGGCGTCGACGAAGTTGACGTCGTCCTCGTCCTCCCCCGCCTGGTAGGAGGCGGAGGCGCCTAACGGGGCGGCCAGGGCGCCACGCAGCCACGCAGGGAGGAAGTCCCACCAACGCGACTTCCCCCGAGCGGAGGCCGGCGTCGTCTCCGGGTGCTGCGCAGCCCGCGGGGAACGCCGGGAGCCGCACATGCGCCCGACCCTTTTAAGCGTGTACACCGCAAGAAAAGCGCCGCAGAGCCCCAGCACTAGGCGTCTGCGGGCCCGAAGAGAAGAGCGCAAGCGCCGCTGCAGACGAGCCACGATCTCCCCTACTCGTGCTCTTGGGCCCGGGATGTAGCTACTGTAATTCTTCACGTCGCTCACGGCCAAAGAGGCAGCAGAAGGTGCTTTTCGGGCCTCAGCCGCCTCCGTTTGGAAGAGACTGAGGAGCACCGTCATGGCTGCGTGCTACTGCAACAGCAACAACAAACAAAAAAAAAAGCAAGCTCCACAGTTGAGCGTCAGGGTCTGCCGCATGCGAGGGAAGAGGCAAAAGGAGAAAACGAGAGACGAACGGCGTGCATCCCTCGAGGAAAAGAAAAGAAAAGGAAAAAGGCATACGTACTGCTGTAGCACTGCCTTAGTGTGTGCTGGAAGAGTTCTCTTGCAGCTTCTTGAGGGGAGAGGAGAAAGAGGACGACGACAAGAACAAAACATGAAAGGATGGAGTTGTATTTTTTGCTTGCGTGCGTGTGTGTCTATTTTTCTCTCCGCTTCTCCTCTTCCTTGATTTTTTTTATTCCCTTTGTGTTTATCATTACCATTGCTACTATGCACGCTCCTACGCCCGGGCGCTGGAGACGCGGGTCACTGGGCCGCGGCTTTGAGCGACACCCCCATGCGCGCCAAGACAGTCCCCACGGCGTCCATGAGCGCCACGCAGTCCGGCATGTGGATGTCCCCAAGTGTGCCGATGCGGAATGTGTCGGCAAACGAAGCCTTTCCGGGGTAAATCACGAAGCCCTCCTCCTTGAGCCTCTCATAGAACTCGCCGAAGCTCCAGTTGGGCACCTGCGGGGTGCGAAAGGCGGTGATGACGTAGCCGTAGGACGGCCGCGAGGGGTCGAGGAAGAGCTCAAAGCCGTACTCCCTCGTCATGCGGTCCACAACGTAGCGATTCATCTCCATGTAGCGCCTTGCCCGCGCCGCGACCCCGCCCTCCTGCTCGTGCTCGCGTAGGGCCTGGCGGAAGGCAACGAGGGCCTGCACGGGGGGCGTCTGGTTGAACTGTCCCCCGCTCTTCTCCAGGCCCTCCCACTGCGCCGCGACGTCGAGGGTGAAGCTCGGCGACCACCCGCGGCAACGCTCGAGCAGGGCGCGACGCGCCAGCACGAGGGAGAAGCCGGGGACGCCCTGAATGCACTTGTTCGCCGAGGTCACCAGGACGTCGCACACCTCCGGCACGGCAAGCTCCACCGCGCCGAAGGAACTCATCGCGTCGACGAGGATGATCGCCTCCGGGTGGTGCCGACGCACGATGCCGCTCACCTCCGCGACGGGGTTGAACATCCCGGTGCTCGTCTCGCAGTGGACGATGCCAACGGCCGTGACCGGCGACGCCACTCCAGCGAGCCGGCGCGTAAACGCCGCCAGGTCCATGTCCACCCCCTCCTCCGTGTCGAAGGCGACCAGATCGGCCGCGCCCCGCTTCTTCACAATGGCAGCCATGCGGTAGGAGTAGGCACCGTTGCGAAGCACAATAAAGGCGCCCGGTTGATCGGGCGAAATGATGGTGTTAATCGCCGCCTCCACCCCCATTGTGCCACTACCCTGCATCGGCACGCACGCCCATTCCGTCTCGGGGGCCCTCGCTATTTTCAGCACGCCCCGCCGCACCTCCGCCACCGCCGTGAGGAAGTCCTTGTCACGGCTGCCGTAGTCGTCAAGCTGCGCCTCCCGCACCGTCTGCGACGTGGACAGGGGCCCGGCGGTGAAGAGGAAGCCGTGCTTGCGGTGGTGCCTTTGAGCGTAGTTCCCCAGCGACATTTTTGCGATGCACGACAACTTCATTGAAAACCAAAACCTCAAACGCCGCTCACGCGTATGGCTCTCGTGCAACAGCAAAGGAGGGTAAAACAAAAAAGCAGGAAGGAACCCGACGGCGCACAGCGAAAAGGGCGGGGAGACACGCAGTGTACTGGCAGCAACAACATATGTGTGCTCGCACACATACAACTGCGCAAAGGGGGGGGGGAATGACCCATTGAAGAACACTTCCTCGTGATATCTTCCTTTTGTTTTTTTGTTTTATTTTTGTTGTTTCTTTTTTTATTTTCGTTGTTCCTCTCGCTAAATGGCAAAGAGAGCAAAACTAGGCAACTGCCAGTCCAGAAGAGCTCGCACGCCACTCAGCACGGGGACCACTGCAGCCCACTATATATACATACACACGCACATGTGTGTATATACGCATATATACATGTGCGTGCGTGGCTATGAAGCCCCTCTACTGCACGACCATGTACAGCGGCATCCAGGGCAGTTTTTTGCGCCGGTACCAGTCGCGTCTAACGTAGGACCACTCCGAGGCCTCCGAAATCACAATAACGTCGCCCACGCAGTCGATGTAGCGAAGTCCGAGCTCCTCCGCGTCCACCTCTTCCGCGTCGTCAATGTCAAGCGGAAAGAGGAGTGCGTGATCAAGGCCGTAGGACTTCAGGGCCGACTTTACCCGCCACACAATACCGTCCAGTCGCGTGCGCCGGCTGATAGGCTTCAGTGCCACCGTCATGGGGAGCAGCAGTGCCCCTGCGGCCCCGTCGGCTTCCGTTGGCGGTGGGGACGCGTGGTCTCGTGCGACGCACGCCTCATTCGGTACAATGCGAAGCGTTACCGGCGTGTCATACACCTCCGTGTTGATGCCCCGCTCCGTGTCCGCCACGGAGGAGGTGCTGCGGCGGTCAACCTCGTCCACCGGCGGCTTGCTGAAGTCCAGGCGCGTCGGTGGCCGCATCGTCCACTTCGCGCAGCGCTCCGCCACGGCAGCCGCGTCCAGCGCGATGCGCACCACTTCATTCGCGAGGAGGGTCGGGTTCCCTCCGCGGTGGCCCGCCATTGGAGGGCGGGCAGAGGCAGTCAGGCGGGCCAGGGTGCAGGCGAACCCGGCGGTCGCGGCAAACTCGCCCTCGCGAGACGAGGCCGCCGCCTCCACCGCAGCCGCGGCGATAGGGCGTGGGCGCTGCGTCGACGCAAACGCCTCCGGGAGCTCCCCCGTGGCGCTCGTCTCCGAGTCTTCTCCGTGCGCAGTCAATTTCCGCCGCTTCTCAGAGAAGGACTTGGCGTACAGCTCGTTCAGCTCCGCCCGCAGCCTTGAGTTCTCCTCCTCACGCGCGGCGTGCGCCTCACGCATCGCCCTGAGCCGCCACTGCCGGTGGACGTGGCTCGCCATGATCTTCTTGCGCAGCAACGCCTCCAGCGCCTCGGTGGAGAGGCCCTGGCAACGCCCGACGCCGCCAGTCTGCCGCGCCCCCTCCCCCTCCTCCTCCTCCGCTATCGGTTTGGCCTCCACCTGCGCAACACCCTCCACGGCGCCCGCCAGGTGGACCGAAGGCGCAGCAAGTGCCTGGGGCACAGCCTCCCCATCGCCTTGGCCCGCCGCGGGCGTCGCCCCATGCGCCTCCGGGGACCACACTTCCCTCGCGCCGTCGCGGACGCGGCACGGGGAAGACGGCAAGCGGCGCCGCTTGTGGGGTGTCACAATAGAAAAGTGCTCCTCGTCCATCCAGTCCACCCGCACCACGTCATCGTCGCAGCCCTCGTGCAGGCTGAGCGAGGAAAACGCGTCGGCGTGCCGCAGCCACGGTATTTTCTCCATCATCGCGGACAGCAGCTGACGCGTGCTGGAACGCAGAGCCTCGCCCAAGTCCACCGCGTCCCCGTCGCCCCGCGGGGCGACGGGAGAACTCGGCAGTGCGCAGCCAGGCGAGGAGGCCGGCCGAGACGCCGCCTGCAACACGTCGTTGCGTCGCTCGCTTGGCAGCTGCTCCAGCAGTGCCTCATACGAATGACTCACGCGCCTCACGAGCAACGCCGCCGCCGCCGCCGTCTCAGTGGTGCTCGCGGCAGTTGAGCTGCGGGGGCGCGGGGTTGGGCTGCGCGAAACGATCCCCCGCATTCGCGGGCTGTTGACGTAAAGCAAGGACTCCCGCGAGCGCGACAGGCTCCCTGTGCCCAGGGAACCAGAGAAGGGATCGGGAAAAAAAACTCCCGCAGCAGCTGCGACGCGGAGGGGCGCTCCAGCGCATCCACGACAAGCATGCGCTCCACGAGGGCAACCACCAGCGTGTGCAAACTCTCCTCTTGCTGAGTAAACGCACTCCCATATAGTCTCTCCAGTGATTGCACCTCAGACGCGGTGAAGGCGTGTGGGCGATACAGCGCCTCCTTATCGTACTGTCCTTCTGTGACGACGTGAATTTGCGCCAGGACGTTATCCGCCACAAAGGGAAGCTTCATGCAGTACAGCTCGTAGGTGAGGACACCCAAGGCCCAGATGTCCGCCCCAAACGAGTATGGTTCACCCAGGCAGAGCTCTGGGCAAAGGTAGAAGGGCGTCCCAATAAAAGTGCTGGCCAACGGATCTGTTAAGCTGAGCAGTTTGCTTACGCCAAAGTCCCCAATTTTTATTTTGCCAGTCTTGGTGAGGTACACGTTGGCGGGCTTGATGTCGCGGTGAATGATGTAGTTTTGGTGGAGGTAGGACAGCGCCTCCAGGCACTGTCGCACAATGTCCGTGATGCGGTACGACTCAAGCCAGGCCTGCGGAGACGCCTTCCCCTGCTGAGTGTCGCCCAGCGAGGACCCCGGCCGCCGCGCCGTCTGGGTCCGTGCAGCACCGCTTGCGACACTTGCGAGGGATGCCGGTTGGCTCCGCCCCTGCGCCTCGTCCCTGGCGCCTCCCCCGCCGGGCTCAGCGGGACGTCGCAAAAGCGACGTCAACTCCCCGCCCTCCGCGTACTCGGCGACCAGGCACAGCTGCCGCTCCTCGTCGATGAAGTTGTCCACGTACTGCAGAATGTGCGGGTGCCGCAAGTGGCGCAGGATGGCCACCTCGTTCATGGCAAGCGCCACCTCGCTGTCGGAGAGCGCCTCCAGCGGCACGGCCTTCACGGCCACAGGCTGCCGATACCACGCGCTCCCGGGCAGCATGTCGTGGCACAGAAACACATTCCCGAAGCTGCCGGAGCCAATTTGGTGGCTGCGAGGGAAACGGTCCCACTGCGACACGGGCTCGCCGTCGTCTTGAGGCGGGTGCAGGCAATGCGCATGGCAGTCAGCCTCACGCTGCTGAAAATGCGCATCGGGGAAGGCGCCCCGCTCCGGGGGGGAATCACGGCCCACGAGCCTCCGCCGCGGCCTGCGCGCCGGGGAAAAGCTCGCGGACGCCTGCATTAGCGACCCCGTTCCCCCGGCACGCGTCGTCAACGCATGCAAGGCGCAAAATATACCCCGCCACTATGCCTCTGCGGTGGAGCGAATAGCTGCTCCTCACTCCTCGCTCCCACGCCTCGTACGGAGACGTTTTCGTTGCACGCAGCGGCAACAAGTAATTCGCACCACACTATATGTATATATTTAATATGTACTCCCTTAACCGCGTGTTGTCTGCGGGCACACACTGCCCTCTGCCCAAAACCCCGCTGTTTCGCAATCACTCCGTCGTCCCCGCCCCCGCACAACTTCTTCGTCTCGCTGCTGCGTGGGTAGGGCCCTTCTTCCCCGCGGGGCGCAGCAACGGCATAAACCGTCCACAGGCAGAGAAGACAGAATTAAAACAAAAGCAAAAAAAAAATAATTCTCGTCAACGGCAAGGAGAAATATGTGCAAATAAACACATAAAGAAGCCAGACAGCAGGCGCAGGCAGATGCATCGATGCACCAAAATCCATGCGGCCGCAACCTCTCAGAGTGCGCACGTGTGGGTGTGTGTGTGCGTGTGAAGGTGGAGAGCAACGGTCAACCACCGCAAGGCACCACTGACGTCCCTGCGCCGCCCCTTCAAAGAGGCTCAGCGAACACGTCGGACAAACGCAGAGTCGTAGCTCCACGCAAGCCGTGAGGCACAACTCTGCAGGCCAATCGCAGTTTCCCGTTGGCGGCGGATACCGCCCGCCACAACCACCTCCATATACCGCGAGCAACTTCTCCCCACCGCACCGCGGGTTTGCTGCGTACCGCAAAGCCGTGGGACGCGCGGACGCGGCGGGGGTGTTGGGCACGGTAACAACAACAAAAAAAACGACGAGTAGGATCCACCGAAAAAAAAAAACTCAAGAAAAATTTGTCATAAACAACATTCAACAGATCAACAATAGGAACATTACTTCAAGTTTATTATAAAAACAGCAGTAATAAACGGATTTCGATGCAAACTCCCTCTTTTGCTGCCCCTGCGTTTGCCTCTCCCATTCCTTCTGGTGCTCGCAGTCTCCTTAAACCCCACTGAGGGGCAATCCATATATCAATCAAAGCATACACATGGTTTCACCCCCATACATGTATATATGCATATATTCCGCCATTGGCTTCACACGCGTTGCCCTCTCAGTCAATCACCAGTCATGGAACTCTTCCCTCTCCATTCGCAGATATTAGTCTACGCCGCCTTTAGCGCTTGTTTTTTTTTTTGTATTCATCCCCTTGTTTTTTTTCGTTTTTTTTTCTACATCTTCTTGTAGTAGGGTTCACTTAACGTTTCTCGTGGCTGAGGCACCTCCCCCCGCCCCACCGCCGCCGTCTCGGGGTTGAATATTACAGCCGCGCGGGGAACCGCGTTGCCTCCTCCGGTTTGAGTGTGAAGATGTGCCTAAAGCAGCGGTAGCGGTCATTCACCTCAAAGCCGTAGCCCACCACGTACTTTTTGGGCACGAGTAGACAGACGAAGTCAGGCTGCATTTGCAGGCTGCGGCCGCCAGGCTTGTCGGCCAACACGCAGACCTTCAAGCTGGCCGGATGGTGTTCCTGCTGGATCTTATCAATGAGGTACTTCAGCGTCCTTCCGCTGTCCGCGACGTCTTCCAGGATGAGGACGTGTTTGCCTCGCAGATTCCTGAACTTCATCTCTGCAAGCAGCTGCACCGTGCCTGTGGAGTTTGTGCCTCTGTACGAGGCCACCCGCAGGAAATCCACCACGTGGGGCAGGCCATAGTCGCCGAGATAACGCACCATATCGGCGGTGAAGATGTAGCTGCCCTTCAGCACAGAAATGATGATGAGCGGGTTCTCATCGCTGATGGGCGCCATCCCTTTGCCGTTGTGTGTGTCACGGTGTGACAAGGGCCTGTAGAAGTTAGTGAGCTGCTTCGCGACCGCCTTAATGCGCCGTTGGATGGCATCCTCGGTGGCGACGAGCTCCTCGGCCATCGGGTACTCTTTGCCATCCACAACAATGACGCCATTCGCGTTCTTGCCCACGACGTGCCCCCGCTGCCCTCGTGGGGAAATCATTTGTCGTCTTTGCTCTTAGTTCCTTCCGCTGCTGCTGCCGCCACGGTCCTTTCACGCCTTTAGGTGTCACCCGCAGGAGGCGCCGATGCGTCCGCCGCGCGCAGATCAACCACCCGGCGAGGCATGACAAGCCGCGGCAGGCGAGGAGGTGTGTGTAACACCAAGGCGCAAGAGAGGGAAAGAGAGCGAAGGAAAAAAAGGCAAGCGGGACGGAGGGGAAAACAGAGCCGCAGGAAGAGCCCAGAGAGGCACCTCAGCCTGCGAGGAAGGCGGACGGTGTGCAGTGAAGAAGCGGCGAGGGCGGCCCCTGTTTCACTCCGCTCACACTATATCCCTCTCTTCCTTCTCCGCGCGCATGCGAGCGGCGAGGTCAACCAGGCACACAACATTGTCAACGGAAAAAAAAAAGAGGGGAAAATACAACTAACAATAAAAAAAAGGGGGGGGGACGGGAGGCCGCCATCTTAATTATTTCTCGAAGCATCCACCGCCCGAGAAAGGTATACATATATATATATACTTATTTATTTACAGTACATGCCCTCCCCCACCCCTGCGAGGATGCTCTTGCCCAGCCGCTCGCACAAATCCCTCGCTTGCCCCGGGCCTCCATGCTTCCGTCAAACAAGAGGCGGGTAGGAATGCATTGCGCAGTGCATGTGCAGAACTACAAATCCTTCACCGCCCTCTTGCCCCGTGGCATTGCTTTGTTCCCGCCGCATCCTATCATCCACGTATTTGCGTTTGTTTTCCACTGAAACGCGAATTATTGCTTTTTTGTTTGTTTGTTTGTTTGTTTTGTTTTTGTTTTTGTTTTTCGCTCCGTGCCAACAACACCACCGCGTTGAGCAGCAAGGCGAGGGGGGCAAATGCCCCAACATGGGCAAGGATGCATTGGAAAGACCACACAAGCAACAAGCCCCCGTGTATGAGATTCCACGTGATGCGGCAACCCAACCAAAAAAAAAAGGAAAATAAAACAAAGCAAACAACAACAACGGGGGCGGGTGTGCGGGGAGGCAACGAGGGCAGCCGAACGGAGTAGAGGCGGGGGGTGACGGGGCGGTCCATCAACGACGCGGGCGCACTCGAGAACACGCGCCTCCCCGCTTCCCCCCTCGCACCGCCCTGACCGCCGCCAGACGTGTGCACCAGCGCCCCGCACCCCCCTCCCTCCTTCCGCCGTTCGCCGCCACGCACTTCCCCACCACCACCACCACCAGCATGCAGCCGTGCCTAACTCCCATTACACGCTGGCCATTACGAAAATCAAAAAGGGAATTATTAAACAAAAAAAAGCGAAAAACACAAAAAAAACATCCACACTGCGTGCTCAGTATTTGCTTAGAAACTCGCACTCGGTGTCTCTGTTGATGAGGCCGGTGGGCATTTCTTGCAGCTGATTCTTCCGCGGCGCCTCCCGCGCCTCATGCACCTCCGGGCGAAGCACAACAATGTCCCGCAGCTCGCGGTAAGAGTCGTCGTAGTCGAGGCCGTAGCCAATCACAAAGACGTTGGGCACCGTCATCACAACGTAGTCCGGGACAAACGCCTGGCGTCGACCCTCAACCTTGTCGAGTAGCACAACGGTCTTCAGACTTGCCGGCCGCCGCTCCAAGAAGGTGCGGTGCAAGTACCTCAGCGTGAGGGCGGTGTCGACGATGTCCTCCACGATCATCACGTGGCGGCCCTCGACGCTGTGGCGGGTGTCAAGCAGCATCCGCACCTGGCCAGAGGAGGTGACGCCGGAGCCGTAGGATGAGACGCAAATAAACTCCATGCGCACCGGCACGTTGAAGTCGCTCAGCGCACGGCACAGGTCAGCCGTAAACATGAAGCTGCCCTTCAGCACACAGATGAGGACAAGCGGGTTGTCAATGGCACGCAGACCCTTGTCCTTGTAGTCCGCAGCGATGCGCTGGGCGACGCGGCGAATATTGTCATGGATCTCCTCCTCTGTGAAGAGGACCTTCTCTGAAAAATCGTACTCGCGTGGCATGTGGAAAAACGTCCTTTCTCCCGCACTTGTGTGGCGAAGCATGTTTAACACGAAAAAGCGGGTTCACGTAAAACCCCAAGAACAAAGAGCCCAAAGAAGAGAAAAAGAAAGAGGAAGGCAGGACGCAGTGCGAGGGACCACCGCCACACAAGTTCTTTGCCTACACGCCAACGTTCTCCTCTCCGCACCCCTAACTCTTTCCGCGTGCACGGCACTCTTTCCTTATTTCTCTCCCTCCTCTCTCTCTCTCTGCTGCCGCCAACGCCAGCAAGAGCCACTAGGGGGCACCCCGCATGGGTGCCACCACACTATTGCTTTTCCTCGCGTTCTTGCCTCTCACGCCTCTCTCGCACCTCGCGCTCCCATGACGTCTCCAGATTGCGCGCACTGCGCTTGGCCGAGCCAAACACGTTTTCGTTGTAGCTTCCCACTCCCGTCACGGAGCGTTGGTTGCCGGGAATGCGCATCTGCGACTCGTCGCCAAAGAGGTCCTCGCGGCGGACGTAGTGCCGCCGCACCCACACCCAGAACGCAAAGGTAAACACGGTGCATACAGTGACGAGAAGGCGGTGGTCACGGCTGTACATCTCCTGCTGCTCCCGCAGCTTCACAAGCGCCTCACGGCTAATCTGCAGGGACCCAAGCTGCATCTTTCCGTGCACCTGCGACAGATTCATGGCCTTCTCGTGGTAGTCAAACACCATCGTGCGGAAGCGCTTGTCGACCTCGTAGTGAAAGTTCTCGTAAACGGCGCGCAGCTGCTGAACCTGTTGCTCGCGGGTGCGCAGAAGCGTCTCCAGCTCCGCCGCCGACATGGAGCGATACGTGTCTATCGTGGGCCGGCTGCGGGCCGTAGAGGCGGAGTCGGTGTCTGTGGCGTCGGCGACGTGTTGGGCCCGCGTAGAAGCGCGGCTTGCGTGTTCCCCGCCGTCGTCCCCTGTGAAAGCCGCGGAGGAGAAGTCGCCAAACGCCGCGGCAGCGAGACGCACTCTGCATAAACCGTACATTGCCGCCCTCTACCTTTTCCTGCAACCCCCACCCACCCCCCGAGGCTGTGCGGCCGCGCAGATGAACCACGACACGCTCCGAGGGTGACGAAAGACACACACACACACGCACATAACGGCGTTGCCAGAGGCGGAGGGAGGCATTGCGGTGGAAGCGAGAGAGAGACAGAAAGATGGAGAGCGAGGACTGGGGGACGCGGGCCAGTAGAAAAAAAAAGCATAACAAACACTCACACGCAGAGAGAGAGAAAGAGAGAAAGAGAAAGAGCGGTGCGTGTGTGTGTGTTCAGCATTGATGCATCCATGTTACGCCCTTTTTTATTTTTATTCTTCTTGACGGTGAACGCAATTCCCCTGACAACTTCTCTCTTCCGCGTCACTCACATCACCGTCACACGCCCATATCTCGCGTCCTCATGCTTCTTCCTGCGCTGAAGTGCGTGGGAGTAAAGAAGAAGTGGGACTTAAACACCGTTTCGCAGGCCTTACACGCTCACTTGTGGGTTTCCCACCCGCCCTCTCCTTCTTTCCCTCGTCGCTTTGGGCCTTTGCACCGCGTGGAAATGGCGCTAGTGCGCGCAGGCACCCATGTACGGCGGAAGGAAAAGAAACGAAAAAAAAAAGGGAAGGGACAAATAAGGAAGAAAAGCAACCATGTTAGCAATAAAAAGGAGGAGAACAATGCAAAAAAAAAAGACAGAAACAAAAAGTCGCTCTCATTCAGAAGCTGAGAATGTGTATATAGTAGCTCCTCCTCCTCTCCGCGCAGCTTCGGCGCATCCCGCATTGCCCGCTCTGTACGGCGTCAGTTACGCCCCGCCGTAGATGCCATCGCGGGTGAGCGCGCGAGAGTAACAAAAAGAAGAAGAAATACGAGCAACAGGAAAGGCAGTCCATTCGCTTTGCGTGAATGCTACTCCGCTGACGTTACGTTTTCCCTCCCTTCCTATGCCACTCTCGTCATCACGCCTCTTCTGTCCAGCAGAAATGTCGTGCACCTGCACCCTATCCTACTACTATTATTACTACTACTGCTACCACCACCGCTAATTAGCCCTAGTAGTCATCACCCTTGGAGAGAATCTCCTTCGCTGTTGGCTTCAGCAGGATGGTGTGCTCATACTGTGCCGTGTAGCAGCCCTTCACGTCGCAGAGGGGGGGATACTTGTTGACGGCCCCCGCCTCCACCAGATGGTTCAGATTCAGCAGGTGTCTGTCATAGCCGTCACGGTCCAGCCACTTCCGCGCAAATGCCAGTGTTCCGTACGTCTTGTTGATGTGCTTCAACAAATGCTGAGCCTTGTCGGAGCGCAACTGCTTCCTCTCCCCGCCCGGCACCATCATGTAATGTGAACACTCCATATCCTCCTGCACGACGCCTCGCCCCGTGGAGCCGAAGGTCTCAATGGCGAAGAGTTCCCCCTCCTCCATTTTAACCGTCTCGCCACCCCGCACAATAGGCACGGACTTGCCGTCGTGAATGACGTAGGGGCCAATGTTGTGGCCGCAGAGGTTGCGGATGCTCTTGACCGGGTACACCTTGCCGTTGATCTCCACCTCGTAGGACTCCATCACCTCCTGGATGGCCTCGCCAATGTCACAGAGGCGGACATCAATGCCAGCCTGCTTAACGCCCTCGTACGTGGCTGCCTTTACTGCCTGCAGCAATGGGGTGTAGGTGTCGTTGAATGCCACCGTCCACGCGGAGTCGATAATCCGGCCATTGACTTGTACGCCAAAATCCACCTTCATGACATCGTCGTAGGTCAGAACCGTCTTGTCACCGGTGTTCGGTGTGTAGTGGGCGGCCACGTGGTTTAGTGAGCAACCGGTGGGAAACGCCTGCCCGCGGGCAAGCCCGTCCTTCACGACAAGCTCCTCCAACTTCCGCTCGATGCGATCGGTCATGGAGATGAGTGAAATACCAGGCTTGATGAAGCTCTGGGCGTAGCGACGCACCTGCCGGTGCACCTCCGCAGCCTGGCGCAGCTCCTGCACCTGCTGCTCCGTCGCCTTCTCCAGCGCCCGCTTTTCTTCGCTACTGTGACGGTAGGCATTCACCTCGCCTGGGTGTTCGCAAATCTCACCGGGGGGAAACTTCCCCTCGGCGAACTGCAGCGACACAGGGACAGTCGGCTCCGGCCACGTCTGCCGCTGCATGCCTGGCTCCACCTGCGGATACGGATTGTCGACGTGGTCGGCGGTGCTGATGACTTTGACGTCCACGTCGTCGTCCTTCGCCGCCGTCGCCGCCTCTGTGGCGTTTGCTTCCTGCCTCTGCTTTCCACCCTTCTTGTGTTTGTCCTTCTGCTGGTGCCCATTCCCGTGTTTGGGCATGGCCGCCTGCGTCTCCCTCACCGCATTCGCGAGGAGGGCGTCGAAGTCGTCCTCGTCGCTCTTCTTACCTCCCTTCTTCCCGCCCTGGCGCTGCTGCTGCTGCTGCTTGCCGTTCGCGCCGCCTCCCTTTGGCGGCATCGCTCCTTCCCCCCCTCTTCAAGGCTCCTGTGGGAGCAGCCAGAAAGCCGAGGAAGAAAGGAATTGAAAACAAAACAAAAAAGAGAAAGGGCGAGAGGGGGGGGGGACACACGCAGAAAAGTACGTGCTTTCGTGGTGACTGAATGGGAAGAAGCTCTAGCTGGAGTCGTTGGGGCCCTCATAAGAATGCAAGGAAACTTACACACTTTATTACCCAACGTGTTCTCCTACTAAAGAGCCCAACACCTTCGCTGCGGCAACGCGAACAGCAAGCCCAATGCAGCCTGGCAATAACGCCTACACCTTTA